TTCTTCTTCTTCTTCTTCTTCTTCTTCTTCTTCTTCTTCTTCTTCTTCTTCTTCTTCTTCTTCTTCTTCTTCTTCTTCTTCTTCTGCTTCTTCTTCTTCCTCTTCTTCTTCTTCTTCTTCTTCTTTCTCTTCTTCTTCTTCTCTACTTCTTGCGAATTCATTTCTCATCGTAACAACTCGCACGATTTCTTGCTTTAATTAGGAAAAGTCTGGCTAATTTTTTGTTTACAATAATTAATCGGTGGTTTGGTGCAATCACGATTTTCATGTAGATATGACATAGGTATGGCATGAAGATGCTGTGACGGAATCTGTGACGGAATCTGTGACGATCTATTGACGAAGGTCAATGTTACGTAAAATCTTACTCGACAATCTGCGTCACCGCTTTTTGGCTCGTGGCCTCTCTTCGACGTCCGATTACCGCGATTATTATAATAGATTATATTTATCATATAGATACTACCTTAAAAAACTTTTGTTAAAATAACGAATCGTTATACTAATATCATCATATAATTGTGATATAGTATTATATTAAGAATATTTTGATGATACATACAAGGGCAGATATTACTTTCTATATTTTATTCATTTCTATTTGAAATTGTAGCTTGGAAGTTATACGCTTACGAATGAAACAGAACCATTAGGATACTAGAAGAAAAATGTCGATATTCATTATTTTTTGAATCGAAGTAAAGGGAGTGTATCGTGTAACTCTTACAATTAATAAACAAAATGTTCTATCGATGCTCTAACATATCTCGTATCTCTGGTTTTTTGCTCACAAATCTCTCAGACATTTTTCATAATGATAAGTCTATTAATAAACGATCTTTTTCCAGGACTATATGAAAAACAAGCATATAAATTGAGTTTGAGGAATATAATGGAATATTGAAAAATAGTTAATGATAAAATATTGTATAAGACAGGACACAAGATATTCTATTTCTATCTATGACAGTTGTGCTTGCCAAACGACAGCTGCATGCTTCTAGTTCTATCGCTAGAAGATATCCTACAATTTTCTTTAATTTTCTTATGTTTTATATTCCCTTCGCTTCTTTTCTACTTCTTCGTAATTTTCATTTTCATCTATATACGATATATTTCGAATGAAAGGTTCTACAAAAAAGTATAATATTTATTAACGGGGCACAAGTTGTTTGCATTTATAAATGATCTCTTAGAATATTGCAAGATCATTCTAGTTAAACTTGTCTAGTTTTTTTGTTCGTTTGTAGATAAAAATAAATTTCACTCATCCAATATATAAATATTTCCAACTGTTTGCTCGCCTCAAAGCCGCCTACCCATCGCTAAACTTAGAAGCCGGCCTCGCGTTTCCCAGGTATACTACTCAACGAGATCATATCGACAATTTCTTCGTCTAAAACATCTATTTATTTTCCCTCTCTCTCTCTCATGATTCAAGACAAAAATGTATTCGCCTTATTATTCGGAATATCGATCGTTTATTCGGCCATTGGTCAAATCATAGAGAAATCATAAATACTTAGGATGAATATTCGATTAAAGAGATAGGTCAAAGTTGGTTCAACCCAGCAGCTCGCTGTCATTGCTCGCAGTCATTGCTCGCAGTCATTGCTCGCAGCTTAATGTAATAATTGTGGCATCTTTTATTTGCATTGCTAGCACAAACAGCTTAGCGTCTATAGCGTAGAATTGAAAAGGAGCCGTATTGGAAGAGAATTAGACGAGTTGATCGTTTCAGGAGTGCAATGCGAAGAAGAGCTAGAATCTATACCACCGGAAGACCTTTGCCGGCCTTACATCGAGAAGGCACTCAAGGATCTCGGCACAGGTAATAGTTAAATGTTTAACGATTTCAGGTGGAACACAGGCATTTCTAGGATATTTCATTTAAAGGATCTTTGGAGCAGACCAGTGCAGAGGCCGATAATGTCAACGACGAGGAGGGACGCGAAGAAGAAGCGTTAGCTATCACTGAGGAGGTGCAAGAAAAAAGCCCTACTTAAGCTTACACGAGTATTATAATCAAAATTCTAACCAAACGCTTTTCTCTTTATGATCTTAGGCCGATAAATCGATAGAGGAAGAAGGAGGAGAAACTGATGAAGGAGGAGAAACTGACGATGAAATCAAGGAGTTGCGAGGAAAGGATCAACAAGATCTTTCTGGAGAAACTGATAAGATCAGTGTAGAAGAGGAAACTGTAGAGGAAACTGTAGAGGAAACTGTAGAAGAGACTGAAGATGAATCGATCCAAGCCTCTGACAAGGACGATCAAACGGATCAAGTTCCTAAAGATGACAGCGACGAAGAGATAAAAGAAGGTAAGTTGTAACAGTGAAGTAACGAACAGATCGAAATGCGACATGACGCGCCAATTTTCTTTGCTTGCAGACAAGAGTGAGGCTAAAGAAGAAGAGGAAGAAGAAGAAGAAGAAGAAGAAGAAGAAGAAGAAGAAGAAGAAGAAGAAGAAGAAGAAGAAGAAGAAGAAGAAGAAGAAGGAAAAGGAAAAGAAGAAGAAGAAGAAGAAAACGAATCCGTTAAACCAAAAGAGGAAGAAAAGGATCGATCCGAAGAAGAAGAGCAAAGATCTATCGAAGAAGAGGAGACGACTCAATTAGACGATGATGATTCGGCCGATGCCAAGTCGTCCGAAGACGAAGGTGCAAAGCCGGAAGAAAAATCTGAGGAAGAAAATTTAAAGAGCGATGCACCGTCTGACAGTGAAAATGAGATCGAAGAAAAAGAGGAAAGTTCCGAAAAGGTAGAGAAGAAGGACGAAGAGGAGGAAAAGGAAGATGACGAGAGTGTTGAGGATGATACTTATCAAGAAGATGGTTCTTTGGAACATGAAAACGCGGATGAAGTAACGCAAAACGATACAAAGATTGAAGAATTATCGCAAGAAATGAGCGAAGAAGGGAAGAAATCCGAAGAAAACGACAACGACGACGACGACGACGACGTTATATCTGAAAATGATAAGGAAGCTGACAAAGTGGACGAAGAAGATTTGGAGAAAAAGCTCGAGAGCGAAGAAAAAGAAGAACATGGGAGCGTAGAAGAAGCAGAAGAAGAAGAAAATGATGAAGCCAGTAAAGAGAAAGACGAAGCTGTAGAAATATCCGAAGAAACGATGGAAAAACAAGAAGAAGAAGAAGAAGAAGAAGGAGAAGAAAAAAGTGCGCAAAATGAAGAAGAAGAGAAAAGTGCGCAAGATGAAGGAGAAGAGAATAGTGAGCAAGACGAAGGAGACGAAATGGAAGAGGAAAAAGGTTCGTCTCGCGCGAAACGAGAAGTCGAAGACGAAAGTGAGGAACGACCGATAGAAGATAAAAGCGAGGATGATGAAGAAGGTAAATTCGATAAAGCCATATAATATTGTATTATACGTATAAACCCAGCTTAATTATTCGACCCTGAGATTCTTTAAATCTTATTTTAGCAAAAGTTGAAAGCGAGGAAGAACCGAGCCCTGAGGAGGATTTGATTCGAGAAATACAAATACCAGAAAATCTTCGACCGCGCGATCACATCAATCAATTGTTAAAATTAGACGAGGAAAACGAAGAAAAGGAACGTGCCATACAAAAAGTCTCCGATATCGTTTTGAGAGATTTGAAGAAGCTTTACGATAACGCGATTCAACCATTGGAAACGCTCTACAAGTACAGAGATCTCAGTAACAGACATTTTGGAGGTAAATATTCCATATCTTTGTGATTCTGATTTTGATTTCATTTCGCTACATACTTATCTTCTTAACCGTTTTTTACCACAGATCCCGAGATATTCTCTAAACCATTGATACTATTCATGGGTCCTTGGAGCGGCGGCAAATCTTCCATCATCAATTATTTATTGGACATAGAGTATACGACGATCGCATTGCGAACAGGTATGTGTAACTTGTTGATGATATTACAGAGGCGAATGTGTTTGAATGAGAAGCGAAAAGTTGGAAATACTTGGCACGCTAGAAGCATAAATATACAGATTAGTGTATGGGTGGTGGTGGTTTGAGAGAGTGCTTAAAGGAGCTTTGCAAATCGCCAAATGGAATTGACACAGGAGCTGAACCCTCTCCCGCCTACTTCAACATCCTAATGCACGGCGAAGAAGAAGAAGTTCTGGATGGTACGCAATTGGCAGCCGACTGGACTTTTTCTGGATTGCAAAAATTTGGCCAAGGGATGTTGGATCGTCTCAGAGGGCTACGCTTCGACAATAAGTTACTCGAGAAGGTAAACGGACGCGCTGTTACATACAAAAATCGATGAAATGGCATTAATCGTAAAAAAGTAATGGCTTCGCGTGTAAAAAACAGGTCAACATCGTCGAGATACCTGGCATCTTAGAGATACGCAAACAAGTTCAAAGATTGTTTCCGTTCAACGACGCCTGCCAATGGTTCATCGACAGGGCAGACATTATTTTCCTAGTCTACGATCCTTCGAAATTAGATGTTGGACCAGAAACAGAAGCCATTTTGGATCAACTTAAAGGCCGCGAATATCAAGTAAGTAAAAATCTCCTCTGGAATCCTCTGAATGTCTTTAAGTCTATCGTTCTATAACTTGTCTTGATTTATCTGACACACGACAGACACGAATTATACTGAATAAAGCTGATCAAGTCAAACCGGAAGAACTTATGAGAGTGCAAGGTGCTCTCATCTGGAATATATCTCCGTTAATGTCTAGCGCTGAACCACCGATAATGTATTCCACTTCCTTATGGTCTATACCCTACGAAACTGGAGCACCGACCAGGCTGCTCTACGCGCAAGAACGCGCCTTTCTTCGTGATTTGCGTTCTGCCATTGACAAAAGAGTTGAACATAAAATAGCCAGCGCTAGGAGATTTGCTGTAAGTCTGTCTTTGATGGAATTCTTTTGACGAACAAATATCCTGCTTTCCAAGACTCACTTTTATACCAACCACATCATTTCTCCTTACAGGTTCGTGTACGAAATCATGCAAAAATGGTAGATTGCTATTTAACGACGTATTACAATCACAAAACATTTTTTGGAAATAAGAAAGAAATTAGTGACAAAATCGTAGAAAATCCTCAAGATTATCATATTTACGAAGGCTTAAGTACTCTTACCAATATATCACGCTATGATCTTCCCGATCCAGACGTTTATCGGGATTTCTTCCGATTAAATCCTTTATACGATTTTCAGCTTTTAAGTTCAACTTGTACTTATTTCCGCGGTTGTCCCATAAATAGACTCGACGTTGCCATTGCATATGATCTGCCAGAACTTGTTGGAAAATATAAAAAATCTGTAGAAGTGGTGATGCATGAGAACGAGGCTAGTAGTCCATCCAGTTGAGTACAAATGCACCTTCTAAATGGAATTCTTTCTATTATATAGAGTACAGAATAATCGCTAATTTTCCTTTTACTCTACGTCCGAATAGATAAAATGATAAATTAAGATGATTGTGCGCAAATACAGTATTTTTCACAACGATAAGAGAAATCTCCTCCCATAATTATGAATTTAACGACCTACTACGATCATTTTTATTGGGAGTAGACTGTGTTCGAACATTGTGCTGGGAATAGAGCTGAGTCACGTATGAAGTTATATATGATTGAAATGCACATCGCTGTACATTCTCTAGAAAGAAAATGAATAACGAGAGAGAAAGAGAGAGAGAGAGAGAGAGAGAGAGAGAGAGAGAGAGAGAGAGAGAGAGAGAAAGAAAGAAAGAAAGAAAGAATGATGAAACGAATGAACGAACGAACGAATGAAAGAAAGAGAGAGAGAGAGAGAGAGAGAAGATATTTTAAGCAAGCATCAATGCTGCAAACAAATACGTTTTAAAAGCCACAAGGTTCATTGTACATCAAGACAATTTATAATCCTCCCACTATATTTCGATTCATTCAAAACATAAATGCGATCTCAGCAGTTAAATTACTAACTTGCAAATATCTTAAAAAATCTCCTCTTTTAAAATTATGCTTGCACCTGGAAGATAATGCGAGTGTTATCATTCCGATATAAGATGAACAGTGAAAGTTTTCCTTCAATGTGTTCTAACATAAAATTATTCATCATCAAATTAGCAGATGCATATTTCATAATTTCAACAAATCTCCTATCTATATCAATGATTTAAAATAATGATACAAACGTAATGAATTAAAAAAAAAAATGCAGACAAATTAAGAAAGCGCACAGTAAACCGTAGAAAATGCATCGTAGACATTAAGAAATAATGTTACTAAAGTATGAACAATCTATTTACTAAAATTTGTTCACAAAAAATTATGTCTTATTAAAAGAAAGCAAATGTCTGCAATTAAAAAAGCAAAAAATAACACATATTACATTTCCATATATTTTCATCTCATTATTTCATACCGCACAGTTTTCATCTTTTACATAAAACTAAAATGATTGTTATTTAGTTTATTTACATATTTTTCATTGTATGCATTTTATATATAAGAAAGCTAAAATAATTGAGAAACTGCTTCTAAAGTAAAGATTGGTCATTACCATCTTTATCCTTATCCATTTGATAAATTTGAAGTTACTTGTTGGCATTATATTGACACATAATCACACAAACCATTGACTTATTGTGAATATACGAATCGTTGATGTTGTTATGATTATAATAATGATTACCATTAGTTCTACTACACTATTATACTAGAACAACAGCAATGTCAATAGCAACACAATAATGACAATCATTTAAATATTATAACTATCGCTGCTACTGCTGCTGTTACTATTGCTGATACTACTAGTACTATTATTGTCGTTAATAATTGATTCGTTATATTATTTCAGTTCTTGTTATGGGTATTACTGTTCCATAATATAAGATACATTAGATAAATTAGATGACTTATTTTGCAGAAATAAATATTTATTTCTAAACATTCATTCTTAATCATTTGAAAATTTTTTAGAATCAAACTAAAATAGAATGCAAGTTTACATTTATAATAACTAACATTTCAGAGAAATTAATTTGCAGAGCAAAATTTCTTTGAAAATAATATTAAAGACAGCTGTAAATAGGTTTGACAAAAAATAATATCTTGAAAATAAAATAGAAAAAATAAAATGATTCTGTAATTACTTCTATTTACTGCTTACTACTAAGGTTTAATAAATATTATTGAATGAAAATAATAGAAGAAAAATAAAATTGACTTACGTTTGGAGTAGCTTCGCGTAACCAATCGTCGGCTTGTTCGTCAAAATCAAATTTACAAGCGAGTCTCAAGTCATTTACTGCCTCTTCCCATTTTCCAAGGAGATGATATGCTCGTCCTCTAAATTTGTGACCCGCCGCACTATCAGGATTCAATTCTAATACCTGATTACAATCGCGAATGCATGCATTAGGTTTCTTCAATAGTAGATAAATTTGTCCACGTTTTGCATATAAAAGTGCTGCTTGTGGATTTAATTTAATAGCTTCTGTATAAAGCTGTATAGCCTTTTCATAATCTTTTTCTACAAATGCTGAAACAGCTTCCGAACGTTTTGTTTCAGATTCTGCAATTTCTTCTTCAGTCGGTTTCACAGCAGAATTTCCCATTTCTTGCGGTGTGTCGGTGTCTGGTTCTATATAAATAAACAAATATGTGTATATACTTCTAATTAGAAGATTTAATAATGTTCAATCAATTTGGGATAAGTATCTTGCTCGTATCTCAAAAGGATTACATTTGAAAAGAATTATTCTCTCAAACAGTGTGCACACTCACCTATGACTCCTGTCATATCTAATTCCAAATCACTTTCTTCGCTCTCTACTTGCAATGTAGATTCAGTTTCTTCGAACTTTGATTCGGTTTCGCTCTTTGATTTAACAGGATCTACTTTACCACCAAAGTGCTCTATTAATGATTTAACAAAAGCTAATTCTGGTCTACATAAAATCCAAGGATGCGACTTGCACATTTCGACGAGGAATTTTAATTCATTAAGATGTTCCACATTTAAATTAGGTACTGACATTTTGCTACCTACAAAAGAAATGATAAAAAATAAATAAACTTTATTAATTCACTGAAGAAAATATAAAAAAGAAAAAGTATTAGCACCTTACTGACACTTATACGTTATTACTTGAAGATCTTTTTTATAGAAGAATTTAGTATTATTTTTTTCCCTTTCTATGTTTTTCTTTCTACTTCTTTCTTAAACAAATTCTTATTTATAACAAAGAACAAATAAAAATCAGAATTTTAAATGTAATGTATATATTTGTTTCTTATGAATGATATTCAATTTTATAGATAGATAGATAGAGAGAGAGAGAGAGAGAGAGAAAAAATAGGTTAATTTATCTGACAATACAATTATTATATTACCTTAAAGCACTATTACGAATTAACAATATGGAAAATATCCAAAATTTCGTTCTACGACGAATCGCGTTTTACGATATTTTCGACGAATATTCCTTCCTTTTATTTTTCTTCTAGATATTAGCTTGCCCTTTTTTAATAAACTTGTAATATTCAAATACACCTATGTAATATCATTTATTTTGTAGCGACCTTCTAGGGACAATTTGTAGAGAGTGTAATTGCCAAGAGAACAGTAGTCCCACCGTTTACGTATAAATATTGTATGGAGTAGTAATATGAGACGACACCGAAGTATTTAACTTTAACATTATTTTAATAGGTTTGATCACGGTGGGTTTGATAATGATAATAATACATCATAATGTATCATGTGTGACAACCGAATTTATAGTATAGTGTTTTTTCGTCATTTATTTTTTCCCTAGCAGAACTACAACCTGTATTCTCGGAGTTGCATAAACAAACTTATTAAATAGGTTCGAACGAAACGTGTGTGTACATATATCATATCATAATACTCAGAAATAGAGAGAAAGAGATTAAGAAAAGAATTTGAGATTATCGTACAAATATATAAACGTACAATTTTCATTTGAGCATGGAACCATTGTTGAAAAAATTCAAGACTACGAATGATCGAAAAAGTGAAATTAACGATGACATAAATGATGATGTTGACAAATGTAAAATAAAAATGAATGTAAACCGAATATTTAATAGTGATGAGAAAGTAGTTGACTCGAACGATGATGTAAAAAAAAAAGAAAATTCAATTTTCTTAACAGATGAGGATTCGTTTCTATTTCCGCCTGACAATGATATTTCAGATATGCTAGAAGAAATCAACTTTAATGGTTCCTTACAAACTATTACCGAACGTTACTTTTCCACATATTACAAAGTTGATGTTCAGAAGCCTGGTGACGACATGTGCATCAGAATACACAGTAATCGTATTTGTTTGATTTCTTTAGCACCAAGTCATAACATTTTTCAAAACGATAAGAAAATATTAAAAGTTAATTACAAAGTTAGCGATAAGTTAGACAGAATGCTAAATAAAGTATCTGGAAAAAGCAAACACGGTGCTCAACCTTTGCAAGTTGATTCGAACATTTGTACAATATCTTGTTCGGATGGACAAACGTACACAATCAAGTGTTGTATTATTGGAAAATTAATAGAAGTTAATGACGTATTATTGGAATGTCCGGAAACTTTAAAGGAACCACCGCACAAAGGTGGATATTTGGCTCTTGTATTGCCTAACTTAAAACTATTGGATAAAGTAAAAGATACCCTATTAACATCAGAAGAATATAAAGCATTAATACTTTCGCGATCTGAAGTTAAAATGTCTTAATTAAGTAGGAGAAAAAAAGGAGAGATACAGATATGAGAACAGTAAAAGATTATGCGCGTGTTTTTCTATGTACATAATATGACATATATTATAAAATTATGTATTTGGTTACACTGACTAAATCAATGGCACTCTAATAACTTCTACATTTATTTTATACTATTTTCCTTCTCATCTTGCTTATTTCGTTGATCTTGCTTATCTGGGAGATCTTTCCATAAATTACTTAAAATAATACCTGTAAAAAGTATCAGTCCTACATTCCGATTAGATATAAATTTTTTAGCACAATCCTTAGGATTATTGATATCTAAAGTATATATCTGAAATGATGAAGTAGATAACATTATTATTTATGTGCTTTAGTTTATAGTAATATAAACTAATTAATACATAAATTAATATACGTTAATAATAATTTACCTGATTGACAAGATGTATTCCAGTTAGTACTACTGCTGCATAATAAGGCCAAGTTTGTGCAGTTACAATGCCAGATGTTATCAATCCTGTCATCATAAATATACCGAATGCAGACAAATATAATTGCGTTTTATCCCCGAACTTTAACGCGGTCGATTTAATGTTTAACAATAAATCATCTACCTTGTCCTAATATAATGGCATTTTTAGTAATTCAATATTGTTCTTAAATGTCGCATAAAAAATAATCAAATGCATTAACGTTTACTTGATGAGCGTAAATAGTATCGTATATGATAGTCCAACAAACTCCGGCAACATAAAGAGGTAGGCACGCAGACCAATCGCATGATCCTCGCACAGCTGACCATCCCAATAGAGCTCCCCAATTGAAAGTCATTCCTAGTATTAATTGGGGCCAATACGTTATTCTTTTCATCAAAGGATAAATTATTACTAATCCTGTAACAAGCAATAAATATAATATTTATGCATTTTAATATTCTTTATATTGTTTTATCTATCGATGGATAATGACCTAAAGAACTTGCACCAAGAAAAACGCTGTACCAGTTTAATTGTAATAACACGAGTAAGCCTAAGCTCAATTGTCCTCCAAGAAAAATAAGCGACTGTAAATACGTTAGTTGCCCGGTAGCCAAAGGTCTATCTTTCGTTCTTGCTACCTAACAAAAATTTGATTTTGTAGAATATGATAAAATTATGAAATGGTTACAAGTTGGTAAACTTTAGATTAAATACCATTTTGTCTATATCTTTATCCCACATATCATTTATAGTACAACCAGCACCTCGCATTATAAATGCACCTAATCCGAATAGCGTCAATAATTTGAAGTCTGGTAAAGAGACTGGAGGTGTTGCCATAGCTATGCTCCAACCGCAAGGCCAAAATAACAACCATGATCCTAAAAATTAATAATGTCTTTATAACTTATTTTATTAATACATATAAATTTATTTTAAACTTTATATTATTTATATATTTATTTAATTTTTATATACATTTTATTATTTAATTAGTTATTATAAATATAAATATGTTGTTAATAAGTACATTAACGTTCAATTAATTTATATGTATATCTTACCTATAGGTTTATCTATTCTCATAAGCTTCATATAGGGTTGCACTTTTGATGAAAAATTGAGTATTCTTGCCGTTAATCTTGAATATCTTCTCTCCTGGCAATGGGACAAATCAATATAAGATAATGTGTTTGATCCTAACAAAGGCTTAACTTTATTATCTATGTCAAAACATATTTTATATTTGTACTTAATTTGGTTAAAGGATAAAGTATGAAAATTCTTAAAAGAGCATATACTGCTTAAAGTTATCCTCTTGATCTGTTTTAGATTAGAATGATCAATGTACGTTAGCAACCCAAAAGATGCACCAAGTTTTTGACCACTTCGCATTGATAACATGGTTTTATATCTTATCTGAAATATATTTGTTTAATAAAAGAAGAATTGAATTGGAGAGAGAACGCATTATTTAGATTTATATGTACATGTATACTTTAATAGTCAAGATAAAACGTGAATAATGCAACTAACGTATAATCAACATTACCTCAGATCGCGACCTTGGGTATAAAATAGTCTTTTTTAAATAAGGTTAACTTTTATAGATCATAAGTTATAAACAAAATCTCAATTATTGATTCTGTATTGATAGGTATGGTATATATATAGCATACCTATTTCAATATGATTTTCAAATTTCACACAACGAATGACATTGTATATCGATGGTTAAAACAAAACATCGAACTATCATATTCGACTAACTTATGACCACTTTGAGGTGCTGCTATCTTCAGGAATGAAGTATACGCAATTTGGAAATGACTCTGAGATGAAATTGTTGCTATTTCTCATATAATCAAACAGATAAATCTAGAGAAAGAGTTAAAATGTCATTAAATTAATCTGATACAAATAGTTTATTCGTAATTTTTTAAGGTACGAATATGACAGGATAATACAACTTTTTAATATAAGATAAAAATACATTAATATATAACAAACTTATTAAATGATAAAGAAAAGGAAAAGTTACATATAATATGTGAAAAATGTATGATACATATTTGACACAAATAAATTGATTTAAATCGGATGTTGATTCATATATTGATAACCCGTGACAATTTTTGTACTCTATTAAGAAGCAAGTCTCCTTGCTTTACCATTGCTTGGTACTGCCAATTTTTACTATCTGGACGATTAGTTTCCACTACTCCGCCAACGCGATCAACCTTACAATGCAATCTCCCAGCTGCAATAAATCGGGATAGTTCCCTGAAAATAGAAGAGATATGTGTGTTAGATTGTGTGCGTGTATGTATATCGGTAAATGAAGAAATGGCTTACTGATCTATATATTCTACAGTAACTCCGAATGCTTCTGCCATATAATATAGCGTTAAAGAGCGATAAGACTCTAATAATTGCGTATATGCAAGAATGCGCATTTCTCTAACATAGTATCTGTAATGTGGAAATACCAAATAATCCCTTCTTAGTAATCCTTCCACTTGCGCTAAAAGAAAAGTAAGAAAATCAAGGTAATGACCGAATATAATACAAGAGAAAGACTATATTTTAGAAAGATAATTGTTTGCAAAAGTTACCAAGATTCTTGAAGAATTCAGCATAATGACAATTATATAAGGAAAATAGATAATCCTTAACGTCAGAATTGCTGTGCAATACTTCTAAAATTTCTGATCCTTTAATGATCTTATCGCGCAATTCATTCCTTGGCAAACTTATCATACTTAAATAAACAGTGTATCTTACAAATGTATTGTAATCCATAAGTTCATAACTTGTGAATGTACTTATCGTGTCCAAAAAAAAGTTTGCTGCTTCTTTAAAATCGCGTACTGCTATACAGTAAGTTCCTTGATATACTTTCAAGCGATTTCGCCTATCCCAATCACCTCCTTCTTCGATTAAACTAAAAATTTGTAAAATCTTCCATAAATATCGTACCTAAGTAGGTAAGCACCCACGCATGAATGCTTATACATACCTTTTTGCTTTTTCTATATTCCTTGTTATATGATCGTGATCCAAATAAAACAAACCAATTCTAATATTATGAAATACGATATCTAGTCTATGACCCAAGGACACAGTTTTATCATAAGTTTTTCTAAATGCTGTTATCGCCCCTTCTTTGTCCCCAATTCGACAAAGATGTTCGGACTTTTTAAGATTGGCTTCGCGTACTTCCATTTCTCCTAAATTTTTTTCAGCGTCCTCAATTGCTCCATCTAACTCTTTTAATTGCTCTGCATTACGAGCTCTCATATTGGCCAAAAGTGTTTCATCTACTATCCAACCTAGATCTCGACAAACTTCTTCGTAAAATGGTGCCATATCTATCAAATAGAAAATACTATACATTAGTTATGTATATAAGTAATACATTTTTGATACTGAAGGAAAGATGAACGATAAGTATAGGATGTATTTTCCATACGTCTAACGTTTCACTTCAAATCTAATGAAAATATTAATTTGAGATATTGCCACGTAATATTCTATAATCTTTTAAATCTCCATAACTTACAATGTTATTGATATAAATAAAATTGAATAAATGTAATATAAGGCAATAGGGAAAAAATGCAAACTCACTTTCTGCTTTAATGGCATCGAGTAGTTTAGTTTTCAAATAGGGATCTTCATGGTGTTCTGGAAGACTTAATAAGAATTTAATTTGCGCTAATTCTAAATTAGGATTTTTTTCTAATCCTTCCTCTTCTAAATTTTCTAACGGCATTGTAACGTGGGTAATTAATGTATTGACAGTAACAGCAGATTCAACGGAGGATTACTACCGCGACGACGGATGTATACAGTTACTATAGATCGGAAACGTATTGATGCATGTGGAATAAGGAAAGAAACATGATTGGTTAATGCACTCCCTACTTTGTATATCACATTCTTTTGCCAACTTGACGAGGTTGATCCTAACCAACCTAATCTACAATAAGTTAACCTAACCTTTTTCTGATCATTCCTAGAAAAGAGGACATATATATTATTTATAATAATACATTAAAGATGACCTCTCGAGAGATCTTCAGTCAATCAATTATTTGATCGAATTTGATTGAAATTAAATCTGCATCTCTATATTATAGTAGATATAATATATTCCGTATTTAAAGGATATTCGAAAGGATATTTGGATGATTTGTACAACGTAACCAGTGGCTTTTCTATGCATTTAAGAAAATAATTGTCACGGTATATATATATATTTCATCTCTTAAACATTTTTAATCAATCGAAAGATTTGCAATGAAAATAATCAATGTGTAAAAAATGTGCAATGAAAGTTTATCAAGATGACTAGGAAATATGGTATTAGCGTGCAATATATTACATATGGATGCACGCACACATGATATTGGAAATAAAGTAATAACATTAATTATATCATATTTGTGATTTAGTCGTAATGACGATAACTATGCGTATCGGTGTTAATAATCATTGGATAGAAAAGATTCTTCCTTACAATAGCATAATAAATTTATTAGTTTTTCGTTCGGTGCAGTTTAAATCTTGCGCATATTCGAACACAAAAACACATTATGATACATTGGAAATCTCACCGGACGCTACTAAAATACAAATAAAATCGGCATATTATAAATTGAGCATGCAATATCATCCAGATAAAAATGATTCAGAACTAGCGAAAAGAAAATTTCAAAATATTTCAGAAGCATACGAAGTATTATACAATTATCAAACGCGCAAACGTTATGACAGATCTATTCTAGTCAAGCAAAACATTCAGAAAAATATTCCAAAAACCAATTATACGTATGCTTCTACCTATAACAGTAAAATAAATCCTATGGGAAATAGATATTTTAATTTTGATGAATGGACTCGTCAACATTATGGCGAAACGTTTAGTAAAAGAAAAAAGACAGAGAACATTATCAAAACGAATATAAAAATTAGTGAAGAAAAAGAAAACTTCCAGGATAGGTTCATTATATTTAGTGCAGTATTTATCGTAATAATTTATTTAATTATTCAATTAAACACACATGCCAATTATGATGAACCGAAAAAAAAAAATTAACACAAAATCTAGTTTAAAATATATTGCGACATAGTAGAATTATCCAAAAGTAGTAATTTTATTTTAAGTTAAACTTAGATTACTAGTATATGGAGCACACCTACATATAATGTAAATTATTGTAGATAATTACATTTGAAAAAAGTATTTCTTAGTGTTTTAATGATGAATACATTTTCTTAATATCCAATGAAATGATAATACTAATACGCTTGACAATATTACGACCTCCACAAGAAAGTTGAAGAAATGGAAGCATTAGATTGCAGCATCTTTTATCATTTTTTTTTTTAACATGGACGTACTACAGTGGACGAATTAGATTAATCTGGAAATACGAAAATATAACTTAACTAGTATTTCTGCACACTATAAAATGAATATTATTAAAATCCATACTTTTTCTGGAAAATATTATAATTTTATTTTGTATTTAAAAAGTAAAACAATTATTCATACGTATTATGTACAATTCATGTTCAATATGGCCTATAAAGAGAAGGACCAGATGGTAAGGGCATCGGCATTGATACAGGTCCCGTTGGATATGGTATGGAGGGTGCCATTCCAGGAAAGTTTGAAGAAAAATAAGATGCAGTATGCGATGACTTTCGCATTATTTCTCTAATCTTATCGACTTTAACTTTACGTAAGTGCATTAATTTTCTTCTCGATAAAAATTGTTCTAAAAATTCATCCACTTCTAAATCACCGGCTAAAAATGATTCTGCTGTTTTCTGAAATATAAGACTCACAAATTAGTTATTATGTTATTTTTTTATTTGGGCATAAATAAAGATAGAACTCGATAAAGTTTGTACCTCTGATTCCTCTTCGATTTCTGCTGCAGCTGCTTGCAAAAGATCTAATGCCGTATCGACCGTCATACTTCCTGATCTCTCCTCTAGAATTATGATAGATATATTTCTTAATTAATATATTACTTATCAAAATAAATCAACGTTATTTAATATTTATTCAAAAACGTACTAATCTCATTGAGTTTTTCCTTAACGCTGAGACATAATCGTTGTCCCTTTTCGCTAAGTTCTTTTAGCATTCGTTTACCTTCTTCCAAGTCGGGTTGTTTCGAAAGATTAAATTCTGCCAACGATCTGTTGCTTGCCATAAGTACTTCTTTTTCCGTTTCAAGTTCCTTAAACTAATATCAAGAAAATATTTGTTAAACGTGTTATCCTATAGAAGACTTATATTAAATGCTACAATCTAGTTTTTAAAACTGTATTCAAATTACCTGCTTTATGTCCTTAACAATATCTTCGAATTTGCTATCGTCGTTTAATATATCCTTTAACTCTTCGTTACTTAAATGTGTTAACAAACCTAACGCAGCTGGTATATCAGGTTCTTGACTTGATTTATACATTTTGCAATATTTATACTTTTTCAATGATCAATTTATATATACAAATAGTTACTGTATGTATATATATATGTAATATAAATTTGTCTTCAAACTTGAAACGATTCTTCGAAAAAAGAATACCAATTGTTGAAATACATATATGTACTTAATTAACCTATACTATAATGATCTATGATGAAATAATATTTTCTTACCAAATGACTGGAAATGATTGTTTCTGCGTTTCAGCCAAGATACAGCAATAATTAGAGATTTGTATTTTCTGTATTTTAAAATTACAATAAGAAAGATATTATGTGATTATTTACCAAGTAAATGTAATATAATCATATATAGATATTTGTCTTCTTTTTGTATTGTCTAATCATAAAACGCGCTTGCGCGATCATTGTTTTGTGATTCAACCACGCCTCTAGCGGCTGAGTCAAAGAACCAGCCAACAAGACGACGGAAGCGCCTCGCGCGGGAGAAAAAACGGAGAATCATCGCTATGAGTAGCATCGACAATTAAAATAAACCGTTTCTTCATAATTGATAAATATTTTTATCGATAAGTGACTAATAGAAACGATAAAATAAATAATAAATAGTTTGAGGAAAATCTCGCATGCAATGTTAAAATCATAATTATTGAAATGTTGCATTACGATAAAACGATTGCATATGTACACACGCTACTATCGATTTAATAATTAATCGATATTTAAGGAAATGTGTAATGTCAGGGTTGAAAGCGTCTTTTAGTTGTCACCTATTGCGCGCGTTTCTTAGAAATTATTGACTATTATTAATTAAAGTAAGAGAGAGAGAGAGAGAGATATTTATTTATTTATCGACGCTAATCGCGAGTACAAACTTCTCTTTTTTATAATCATCATGATAACCGTAAGCTGTCTTCCAAGTTATTTACGTTATAACCTCAAAGTGAACATCGGAGATGGTTTATGTACGTTAGGTTGAAGGTAATTGGAAACTCGTCTCTGAAATGAAGCCAAGAGTTACACATTTTGAAAGTAGTTAATTATATTAAAATTGTTTAACATTAAAAAAATGTATATTATAAGACATGCCAGGAACGAAAGACAAGTGGATTAGACGTTTCGTTATACCCGAAACTACACGACATAGTAAAGGCTTTACCATTTACAAGGTCACATCCGTGGTAAGATTTTGTTGTATGATTTAAAAATAATCTAATGATAATTAGGTTTGACATACTCAAATGTTTGTAACTTTTAGGTATATTTAAAAGCGTCCAGAGAGGAAATATCTAAGGTATCTGTTTGGAAACGTTACAATGACTTTAAAAAACTTCATTCGGAATTATACGCTTTACATGGACGCTTTCAAATTAAAGACAATTTTCCTCCATTTACAAAATCTAAATTTTTTGGAAGATTCGAAGTGGAAGTCATCGAAGAAAGAAAGCACAGCGCGTTACAGTTCTTAGATTTTATTGGAAAGCATCAGTGCTTATATACCAGTGACATTTTCATCAGATTTTTTGAGAACAGTCTTTTAGATTGTAATATAAATGATTGTTCGCAATCTATTAGTTCTGATACTTCTGAAGAGGATCATAATAACATTGCAGAGAGGACGTGTCTTTCGAAGTCACAAGTTACAAGTTCTTTGGCCGTAGAAAGAAATTCATTAAAATTGAATACGGTCACTTCCTCCAAAGAATATGACAAAGAATATAATACCACTAACGCGTTACAGACGCAAATTATAGAACATAGTCATATTTCTAAAGGCGAGAAGACTTTAGGCATAGATACTAACGTGTCGAATGTATATAACAAACTAGAAGATAATCTGATAAGTAAATATGAAAATTTAAATGAGGAAAAGTATGAAATCAAAAAGACAAAAATGGTAAAAATTCCCAACTCTAAAATGATACAAGATTGTTCAGATCTTGCTCGTACATGCAAGGAAATTACGCATTATATCATAGTAGCTGCAGCTTATATAAATGCAGCATTCAAGCACGAAGCTATTGCAGAATACGAAGAAGCGTTTGCTCAATACAAAATGGGTATCTCTACGTTATTGCTTGGCGTCGAAACAGATCCTGACCATGTGAGGAAAATAAGAATTAAAAAAAATATATCTAAATATTTAGATAGGGCGGAGAAATTATATAATAAATATTTAAACTGGAATATTTCGGTGCTAAATAAGCCTGTGTCGGAGCTTCAATATTACAAAGTATTGAAAATTATAGATTCCGTAATGCTTGTTACAGATTTGCATTCGAGTAATGTTAGAATTGTTAAAAGTATTGAAAAATCGTTATGCAATAAGGAAAATATTAACAACTATATATTGCGCGGGCAAATACCATTTATGGTGCATTTACATGCATATATTGAAACGGAGACGACGGTATTTCTTATATTGGAATACATTAAACGTGGTAGATTGTGGGATTTTATAATGAAAAATTACAAACCGTGCGATCATTCGTTTAAAAGAGATTCTATGGAAACGCTTGGTATCAGCAGCCAATATCAAAATACTTTGGAAGAAATACTTAATAACGATAATGAAATCAAATTAATAAAAAGCGGAGCGGTAGAACTTCCGTGTACTCCCTGTACTTATGACACTGCATCGACAGAGATAAAACATATGTTAAAGGAAGATAAAGATCAATGTCGGAAGGATACTTTAGGTGAAGTCTGTGGCAGTGATGTGCCTACGACACAATTATTAGAAAAAGCGCAAAAATTGTTACAATCCGTTAATGCTACTTTAAGAAGAAGTAATTCTGTTGCTATCCATTTAAATGAATCTAAAGACCTGATGTATTCTCGAGATAATATCAAGCGAGTAATAGAGACTGATAATATTTGTCGATGTGAATGTTCTCTTAAATTAGCATATAATTCTAATCTTAATGAACCCACGCGCAATGATAGTAATAATCGAGAGAAGAAAGAGGTGTTTGAATCGATTAAATTCTTTGGAAAAAATAAGATATTGCCAATAAACACGTCAAAGGAGAATAATTTGAAGAAATGTTTAAGTAATAGTTTGGAGTTCAGTTTTAGCGATGCACAAGAAAATGATACGTTAGATAACACTAGTTTGGACGGATCGTGTAACTCGTTAACAGATAAGAATCTCAAATGTGAATCTTTCCAAACTGAAGATATTATCGGACAAAGTAATGCATCAATGTCGAAATATTTGAAGGAAAATTGTATGATAGAAAAGAGCAAAGATTCTGTCCATGCGAACAATCATTCCGATCCTAATTGCGGCAAATTAGTAAATTGGGAAATTAAGGAAGAAGTTGTTTGTCGTTGGGCAGCAGAAATTCTCTTAGTGCTCGAAGCGTTGCATCAACAAGGAGTTGTAATTTTTGATTTGAAACCTGAAAACATTTTATTGGATGACCATGATCATGTAATATTAACGTATATTGTACCATATCGTAACATCGAATTAACCAAAATAAGAGAAGCATATTCATCTCCGGAGCTGTACACATTTTCGCCTATGACTTCTATTTCGGCAGCAACAGATATTTGGAATTATGGAGTCATTTTGTACGAATTACTAACAGGCATTGTATGCTTTCAAATTGATTCAAGAGTTAAATCATTATAATGATATATAGATTATTTACCAATTCTACGATTAATCCTATATGTTTATTCTTTTTTGCAGAAATTTAGTTCCTTGCACGCAGAACCATTCCGTTCTCATTCCGTTCTTAGCATACCTAGTAAATTGTCGGGTAATGCCAGATCTTTACTTTTAAGTGTAAGTCTTACCATAACATTTTCTTATTTGTTCCCGTTTGTTTCTCATTTAAATCATTGAATTATTTTAAATAGATTTTAAAGTATAATCCAGAGGAACGATTAACAATATCGGATATAAAGGAGCATTGTTTCTTTGAAAATATTGATTGGTCCAACATGGTATATTGTACAGTTTAAAAGCAAAATGATATGATCTATGATCTAAAAGAGAGATTTCTCGTCTATTGTGAAGGTAAGGATTAATAATTTTTTGTTAAGAATTTGGCCTCTCGCCATTCAAATATATAAATACTTTTTTTGTTTTTACAAAAAAAAGTAAGAAAGACAAATGATTATATATTATATTATATATTACATACACTGTGTAAGTAGTAAGACCTAATAATTAATCGTTTCAAAGAAAACGAAGAGAAAATTTCCACATGAATTCTTATATATCAGTTCGTTTCAGATGGAAAATAAATTTTGTACAGTTTAATTGAAGAACAAAAAAATGATAGAAAAAATATACATGCGTGCATTGAAAAATTTTGAGATATTTTAATCTATAGACGATGATTAAGAATATAATCGATACAAATATCAAAATATAACAGATTGTTCTAATGAAAGAGTACAATTTCTTAATGTTGGTTGCATGGTATGTTCTGGAGTTCCACACGTATCTTTTCTATACCAATCGGAGCATTTAAATTGCAACATTCCCATCTGTAATAATTATAATAATATTATAAATAATAAGAAATGAATTATTTATAATAGCGCTCGCGCGAAATAAGAATTCTTAATTATAGTCATTTAAAGTTTTACCTATCTCCCTTCCTGTTCTCGAGAAACAATTTGTTTAATAGTATAGTATCCGAAGAATCGGCTCTTATTTCCTCTTGTCCATATTTTTCGATTGTTTTATAATATTGTATTGTTCCTTTTATAACCGTTACTTTATGTAAACTAGATAAAAAATCATTCGCCGCGATATTGTAGAAAAACATTGGTTGATTGTATAGTTTGGGCAGTCTGGAAAGAAGAATTGAATTATATTAATGAAAAATAAAGCTGCAAGTAGATATATGAAAATATCAATTGAACAACTGGCAACTGATTTTGAAGGTCGTCGTTGAATTATTTTGATACGTCTTAAAAATCAATGTTCCCATAGTTCTTGATAAACCCATAGCTGTCCTTATAGTAGCTCTGAACGGTTCTCCTGAAAAAGTTTTGATTGTTTTCAAGTAAATATTTTAATCGTTCCTTTATATAAAACATTAAATTAGTCTGTAATGAAATGCAATGGTATTATGTATAATACAATATAGTAATACCACAAAAGGGTGGTCCACTTCTGGTAGGTAAAAAGTAAGTTCCCAATGAGCCATGATTTGCTCTGTATCCCATTTCTTGAGACCAAACAGTAGATTCCAGAGGGAAACAAGTTCCTCTTGTATATGAAATGATTCCGTGAGGGCAGGGCCATGCTATAAATTTGCATTTTTGGGATTGCGTCAATATGCTTTCTAGGTAAAGTTGCCAGGCCCTTAAGTGACTGCAAGCTATTTCCCTATCCAACAATTCTTCTGTAACGAGTAGAACAATAAATATATAATATTATGAATAGAAGGGGCGAGAGTAATTATTTAGTATTGTAATAATGTCCTGATCGTGGAAGAATACAGGATTGTCGTCTACCTTTCAAATGACTAACGACGACAGAATTTTGAACGTCGGAACATCCTGGTTGTTCTTTACCGCCATTAGGAAAAATGTCAATGTGTCCGATAGGTTTGAGAAGACCAAATCCATCGATAAAATTCTCTGAGCCATCCGTATGAATAATATCAACGAGATAAGCGTCGCTAGCGTCGAGCTTTCTCGATTTTTCTCGAAAGAAATGATTTCGAAAAAATGGCGAAGCCGGATCGAGGCCGGTAATACGAGCAAGGAGAAGGCCCCATTTTTTCAACATTTCAGAAGCGCATCCTGCTACGTGAGCTCCCAAGCTAAAACCCGTAAGGTGTACGTCCATCGGATCGGTCCCCAAGTTGAAGGCATCCAGAAGGACAAGGGCAAGTTGTCGGCCAACCAATTCGGTATTAGCGACTGCAGCCGCATAAGTTGTGCCTGCTCCTCTTGTCCAATCCGGAATCAATATATTTACATCCTCCTATGTCCAATGACAAAATAATCATTTTGTTCCTTTATAAAGATCATCATTTAAATAGGTAGGTGTGGTGAACATTTACCAGATCGAGAAGAGCATTGATCCCGCGAATCAAACTATTATCGTTACCGCTACCTTTGAAGCCGTGTATTATAACTTTCAGTTGCTTCGATACATTCAATCGAGATTGTAACAATGATTCGGATTGATCTGCATACGTAACAATCTTTGGATTTTCCCGATTGCTTCTGGTATATAATAGGAATTTGGTTTTAATAACGTTTGGATGCTCGGGAGGTCTTTTGAAAGATAAGTGGGCCGCCGGTGGATCGGCGAAGCACCCGACTAGATCTAACATATCGATACGGCGATTAACATATACCTAACTCTATCGTCTTATTGTTAAATATATTATAATTAACAAGACGTACATACCATAACAAATTTTTCCTTTCAATTCTTCGCGACTGTATCCGAGTCGTCGTAATTTAATACGATTAGACATGCCTAGTATTCCTAGGATAGAATTATTAGGTCGTAGAGAGAGATTAGAATTTATAGAGAGTACGCGTAGATCGCATTATACTCACCGCGATATCCTCTTCCTTCGATCGAAGATAACGACAAGATTATAAGACAAACGATAGTTAGATCTCGAATCAAAAATATCATACTGATATTCCGCATTTTTCTATATTTCTCAGTAATTAATTGCATTAGGTATATGAATTTTTGTTGGTTCGAAGCACTCACACTTAACTTAACTGTGTCTTAAGAAAATATGAGAGTCGTGTATACCCGACGCAAAAAATCCGGACATTTTTCAAACGCGCATGATTGATTTGCGTAAAGTTAACGGTAGTAGGGAATAGAAACGTGCCATTTAAAACTATTATTATTATTATATTGGAAATATACATGACGAAGAGAACAAATCTTTTTTGTCTCTACACATTTTTTTTCTAAGACTCAAAGTTTGGATGATAAGGTATTTCAATGACTAACTCGAATTTCATTGAATTATTTATCGTGAAAATAAGTTGTCGTTTACGCTCACGCTGGAAGACTTTCGCTTTGTGTTTAAATGCAACGAAAAATACTATGGCCTCCTTCTTGTGATGCAACACATAATGCAATGTAATAAGTATAAACAATAATCGAGGATCTCGACGAGTAGGACTTTCTCTTCGTTTCACGTAGAAACGAATGGGGACGTAGGTGGTGTTTTGATAATTCAAACAATCGATAATGTACTGACCCACATTCTAAACGTTATTGAAGAGTTCATCTAAAACCGGCCGAACGAGTTCCGTCTCTTTTTCCCCCATGCTCCCGTAAAAGATGCGTTAAACTAAGTGATTCAATGCATTGAAACTATATCGTGTGGTATGAGTGTTGAAAATATTTCTTCTTACTTCGCGTAACTGTAACTCGGTACGGCAAATCTGAAAGGAAAATTTTTGAGTAGTTTCGTATAAGATATAACAAAAGTCAGATAAGGATAAAAGGATCCGTACTTACAACATATTTATTTGTAATATTTTAGTAATATACTCCTTAGTGTAGACATATATTTATATCGTATGGCAGCATATTATTATGACGCTTTTTTTCAATACAAGTAAGGTAACTGACAGAAGGATTCATGTTTTATTATTCGCGGTTCGGGAAACGACATTGTTAATTTCACTTTCTTTTGAAGCTTTCGTTTACATTCGTCATTTCGTAATTACACGAACATGATTTGCGTTCATTCTTTCTCTCTCTCTCTCTCTCTCCCTCTCATTCATTCTCGGTTGTGCACGATTCACGCAGCTCCCGCTCGTTCTCGCGTCAAATCAAAATCCTTTGCAGTCGTTTCTCGATAACCATGGATCTACCATTGCTATGATCCACCAAGGATTTCTTTTTTTTTTTAAATAAACTCCAATTAATTCGTTATTAAGTTAATTTAGTTCATTTGCCGCAGGCGTTACACGCTTATCGACCGCACGTGCGAACCGGCATTTAATAATAATAATAATGATAATGATGATGATGATGATGATGATGATAATAATAATAATAATAATAATAATAATAATAATAATAAT